TCGTCATTCTTCTTCTCCTCCCTCCCGCCTCCTCCTCCTCCTCCTCCTCTCCCTCCTCCTCCCTCCCTCCCTCCTCCCTCCCTCCCTCCCTCCAGGCCCTCCCTCCTCCTCCTCCTCCTCCTCCTCATCCTCCTCCTCCTTCATCCTCGATCCTCCTCCTCCTCCTGCTCTCTGTTCCTCTCCTCACTCCTCCTCCTCCTCATCCTCCGACTCCTCCCCCTCCTCCTCCTCCTCCGACTCCTTCGACTCCTCCTCCTCCTCCTCCTCCTCCTCCTGCCTCTCCTCCTCCTCCTCCTCCGCCTCCTCCTCCTCGTCCTCCTCCTCCTGTTCCGTCTCCTTATACATAACTTCTCCTTGTCGCACCCTGGAGCCAATTTTTAGGGCGGGCTGGGCGTTTCGCCTGAGACATCCTCACCATTTATGCGTTTGAAGCGTAAAAGATGGCAACCGTTTCAGAGGGAAGATAGGTCGTTTTCAACATGTGGCTCTCGCCTCAGCGACGTGCATATTCGTTTTCAGAATTTGCAATAGTTTCACGGATTGAGTGCGGTTGGTTTTCAAAGTGTGACGAGTCGAGGGTGGCTCCTATTCAAAATGCGGCTCTCGCCTTAGCGCCACGCACTTTCGTTTCAAAAATGAAAGATCTCCACGGATTGAGGGCGGGTGGTCTTCAAAATGTGGCTCTCGCCTTAGCGCCGCGCACATCCGTTGTCAAAATTTGCAAGAGCTTCACGGACTGAGGGCCGTTCCTATTCAACATGTAGCTCTCGCCTTAGCGACGCGCACATTCATTCAAAACATGTGCAAGAGTTTCACGGATTGCGGGCAGATGGTTTTCAAAATGTGGCGCTCGCCTTAGCGCCGCGCACATTCGTTTTCAAAAGTTGCAGTAGTTCCACTGATTGAGGGCGGTTCCTTTTCAAGTGTGGTTCTCGCCTTAGCGCCGCCCACATTCTTGATACAAAATTGCAAGATTTCACGGGTTCCCATGATCGACGTACCAGAAATGGTGTGTTGGAAGGGTTCAGGATTTGGAGGGCGCAGCAGTTACGATGATTCGCGGAGTTGAGGTCCCAAGAATGGCGTTCTGGCACGGCTCAGGATCGTCAAGACGCAACAGTCAGGTTCATCCGTGGCGTTGGAATACCGACTATAATGGTTTGGCATGCTTCAGCATCTTCAAACGGTTGTCTTCCAACAAGGCAGGTCCCTATGTGGAAGTTAACCGTTGTAGGGGTCTATGAAGAGGGAGCTTCGGGGGAGGGTTATTCCAACATCATTGGTGACTCTTGGGTTAACACTGGTCCTCCTCCTCCTCCTCCTCCTCCTCCTCCTCCGCATCCGCATCTGCCTCCGCATCCGCCTCCTCCTCCTATTCCTCCTCCGTCTCCTCCGCCTCCTCCTCCTGCTCTTCCTCCGCATCCCCC